TGCCACATTCACATTTACTTTTAACTACTAGTATTTTACAAAAGCTATTTTTCCATTTTGTAGAACATCATGATTAACAAATATTAATATGAGTAGCTTGTTTTGACCGAAGATTTGAACACATGCAGAAAGTAAATGAAAACATACAATCAATAAACATACCAAGGCGAGCACTGGGCTACCACAGTGGAGTATTCGCATTCCATTCAATTAAAGATGTGGTGAAAACATCTACGATTCGCTCATGTGCCTGAGTGGGCAAAACAAAAGCCAGAGACATCGGTTTATTTGCAAACAACTTCTAAAGAACTATATGGAATGCTTAAAGGGGTAGTTCACCCAAAGATGAAAAGTTTGTCATCATTTACTTACCCTTATGTTGTTCCAAACCTGTGAGTTTATTTCTTCTGTTGAACTAATATATATATATATATATATATATTTTTTTTTTTTTTTTTTTGAAGAATGTTGGTTTTGGTAACTACTAGTCAGTTTAGCCATTGATTTCATTGAGTATGGAAATAAAATATTATAAAAAAGTTACCAAAACCAAAATTCTTCAAAATATCTTCTTTCGTGATCAACAGAAGAAAGAAACTTTGTAACAATCTGAGGGTGAGTCAATGATTCATTTTTGGGTGAAATATACATTTAAGGACTTATTTTTGAATAAATTGCACAATTTATCCTAGAACACCCTTTAATTAATCTCGAGAAAACAGAAATCGGGAGTAAGAGCCATTCATACTTTTGCTGAACAAGGAAAGGTTTCTCTCTTCCACAGTCTCAACCACAGACCTTATAGACTATTGTTTTATCTAAAAAACATAAAGTTACATACTTATACTCATCAAAATTTCATGAAACCATTGAACATCTTAAAGGGATAGTTCAAGAAGAAGATCAAGATCAAGGTTGCTGTGATGATTTCAAGTACCAATCCTTTAAATTAAGAAATTTAAACTATAGTTTTAAGTCTCAAAAAGATTTGAATGCTAAGGATTTGGCTTTCTGGCACTCAAAGCAAAACCAGAGAAACAAATGTACAGATACAATTCCATGACTTTATTACTTTTCCAGACCATTTTACTGTAAAATACCCAGATTTTTCCAGGTTATCCATGACCATGGTAACCCTGTATTTATAATTTTGCATGCATAAACCAAGCAATAAGAGGGGAATTTTTTGTGTGCCTGAGATCCAGTGCATATGGCTACATTCGAATAGACATAAAACCATCAAAACGTCAATAGACAGATTGTACTAAAAAATAAAATAAAATCCGTTAAGTCACACAATGACTATAGAGACTAGAGATTGTATAGAGAAACCCTGTATGATTTCATTCTAACATAAGATGACTACTGTCTAGTGACAGAGGCCTTATTCTTCCATTCAATTGTGCACGTAAGGCTTTTTCTGCTGCGCATCAATCCTGCTGCCAGAGACGAGCGCTTCGGACTCGGAGCAAAAGCATCACCATCCCTACACAAAAACACATTCATGCTCGATCTTAAACATCCATAAATACCATGCGGCCGATAAAGCGAACGCATTATGGTTAGTCCGCTCGCACTGGCGCTATAATGCCTCCATCTCCCATCATTTCCATAAACCACAATATCCATTGGATACAAATCGGCTGCACCACCAAGTGTATCAAAAACGCAAGACCATCAAAAATGCTTACCAAGAGAGAGGGGTCGCCTGAAGTGTTTTGTATTTCACCGCAAAGAGAGAATCGAAAATAGGTCATTTGCAGACAGCTATTTCTATTAATAAAATCTCGGTGAATTATGAAAATAACAACATTGGCCCTGACGGCTCAGGCTGCTCCTGTCGCCGAGTGTAACAGATGATGGCGTTGCTGAGGCGGATTCTCTGGGGACCGAGGGTGTGATTGACAGGACCTTCAGCCAATCAGATGGCGCAGAAGACGCCTGCGTGCGTGCGCGCGCATATATTTTGCCTCCTCGATGGTCCTTTCTTGCTCCTACTATGCAGCGTGGGCACAGCTGTGGTTACTATAGGAAAACAAGGACTGTCTGGTCATGCTCCACAAATCTCTCTGTAATCGTCGACAACCTGTGACACCAACAATTTAATTCAAAAATACCTTCCTTTTTTTTTCTAATCCATGCATGTTGTGCTACCTGCTTTTCTAGACACTCTTCGTTCGCCCAAAAAACAAAACAAACAAACAAAACATAAAAATATCATAATTTACTCTACACCCATATGTTGCTCCAAATCTGTATGAGTTTCAAGAAAGAAAAGTGAGGGAAAAAATACCATGGAAGTCTATGGGTGCCATCAACTTTCTGGTTAGCTACCAACAATTTGTGTTCAGCAGAAGAAAGAAACTCATAGGCTACAGGTTTGGAACAAGATGAGGGTGAGATATAGTAGGCTAATGACAAAAATTTTCATTTTTGGGTGAACCAACCCTTTAAATTAGAAATCACCTGCAAGTGATTCCTAGTAGCCTAAATGCATGCTTATGCAAATAATTTGACTAAAAGGTTGCAAATTAATGTGTTCTCAGGACAAAATAATGTTTTCATAAATGTCAGGTTGGGCAGGTCATTTTGAATTATAATTCTCTGGGTTGGTTTGACTTTTTACCTGCTGTTTCATGAATTTTTTAACTGAAAAGCCCAAAATTGGCATATATTAAAATTAACTGTAAAAAACGTTGTGTAATTTTAACTCAAATATTGAATAAACCAAAAAACTGTTAGGTTTGTTAGATGTTCCCGTAATAAAACTGTAAAAGAGCTATCCGGTCATTTAAACAGTAAAATGCTGTTATGTAGAAGTAAAAAGAGACATTCAATTATTATTTACATTGAAAATGTTAAACTGACAACCAATTCCCTGTGTGACAAGACTTTTGTTTAAATAATTATGTTTCCTAATAGTTTTTATCAGTTATGCACATTTGAGTTTTAGGTTACATCTTCTTTTGATTAATGAATTTTTATTGCATTATTTTAGTGTCATGTGTTGCTATGAGTGTTTTGCAGAATGACTCTGTGCACCTTAATTCAGCTTGTGGAAAGGCACTTTTATGGTGGTTGTCAATATGTTAAAGGTACAAAACTGTTTTTTTTTTTTTTTTTTGTAGCAGTGTGTGTTGTTGGATTTTGTTTCTAAATTACAGTTTTATACTGTAAAATTTACAGATTGTTCTGTACATATGTGTACATTTTTACTGTATTTTTACAGAATTATTTTGCATGGCATCCACTGGATGTTTTTATAAAAACAACAGGATTTATTTTTAAAGATCATATTCCATTATGATTACACACCATCATAAATGTGTTCTTTCAACACTATCTTTTTTTTCCCTTGGGCAATAATGTTGGAATGTTCAAATCACTTAAAAGGGATTGTTTGCCTGTCCATTTAAATTATGTGAACATTTACTCAAGTTGTTTGAAACCTATATTGTGTTCTTTCTTCCGTGGAAAACAAAAGAAAATGTTTAACAGAATGACAGCCTCTGTCGTTCTAAATTCTCCTAGAATTCTCCTCAACATCTTCCTTTGTGTTTCACAGAACAAAGAAATTCATACAAGAACATGGGAGTTAATAAATTATTATTTTATGGGTATGTGGTTGTTCTAAAATGGACTTATAACTGTCTTGATTTCTAGCCCTGGTCTCTATACACCATCGTAAATTATTTGTAAAAAACAAATGGCAGGCATACTGCCATGCCTCAAAAAAGCTATGTCCCAAATAAAAATGGTAATGTGTGCTTATGACTTGCAGTGTTAGATGTGTATTCGATATCGGTAATCAACAAAAAACAGATCAAGATTTGGGCTGAATTTCAATATTATTAGTTTTAATCTTAAAAAATGAAACTCTGCCAGTGGACTCTAGCCCTAAATCAACATCTGTTGCTACAGCGTCGGCCAACCGTAGTGAGATTTTGATATATTTGAATAACCTACATTTTATAATCATCAAGATTTTGTTGAGTCACTTCATGACATGCAGAGAGCTGACCTTTCAAGATGTTTTTGTGATGTTTCACTGGTTAAATTATAAATTATTATCAATATGCTCATGTTTTTTTACATTTGAAAGATTATTGTTGATCAAATGCCCCAATTAGCATTAGCCTATATGGCCCTTTGGAAGCCTATGTAATTTGTTGTTCATTTGTGTCCTGTTAATTGTATCATACATGATAGTTTTTTAAAGATAAATGTTCAGTTTGCAGAACCCAGTTTGGTGTAGGCTAGTTAATAGATTTGAATGTTTAGGGCTTGGTTTGCAATCAATCTCTCTTTAGCTATAGCACTCTTTCGTGGATTGCACAGACATATCATTCACTCGTTCAGACGTAAACAAATATGTCAACATTGCGCAGTGACAATATTATTATTGTTTATGAGCAATACTGTGATGTCGAGCAGTTGCCATGGTGACGTGAGTTAGTATGGTGATGTGAAAGTGCGCTTGAGACTATTTCAGTGCATTCAAAACAGCTCCGTCTGGGCTCGGGCTGACAATAAACCGTGACTGAATCTAGGTCACCAGGATTCCTCAGAATGAATTCATCATGCATGCGATGTGTGACTGGATGTTTATATTGGAAAAATGCAATCCATGGTTGGAGCGTTGGGAATGATCACAAATCTATGTGTTGACCAAGCGTCTATTTAGATAAAACGAAGACCAAATGAATAGCCTACTCAGCCATTTAAATCTATGATGTTTGCCATCTCCCTTCAGTTTTGAGAAACCAAAATAGACATTTTTTTAAAGACGGGTTTGTGGGGGTAAAAAACTAAAAGGAATGCCCAAAAAAGAAATAAAAATAGCAAGAAAAATACCCCTTTGTGACTGGATTCGCTTTTCCCGAATCACCAGTTGCTGGTTGCGCGCGCTTCCTTCCCCTCCAGTGTGTGAGAGTAACCCTTCCCCCCGGCTTCACGGAGGCGTCTTATTGGCTCACACAGCTCTTCTGTGACGTCAGGGGTATTTGGGCGTTGTATCTCGCATCTCATTATCAAAAGAGAACAATTTCATTATCCCCACCTCGTATCCCAAAATAATATATTTTATTTGAGAGAGTGCTATATTTATTATTTTTCTCTGATCAGTTGATCACAGCTTTACCTTTCGTTATCTCTTTTCCGCGGTTTTATTTGAAAACAGACGCTCTTGAGAGCGAGCACGCGACGCGTCTGAGGGAGAAGCTCGCGCTCTTTGTTCATTCATTTGATCTGCGATTCTTTGTTGCGTGTGAAAGCATGGGAGCGCAAATCTCAAAAAACGGAGCAAAAGAGGAGACTGCTGCCGAAAAACCAGTCGAGACTGCGAATAAATCAAATGGACAGGTAATAACTTTAATCATTTTCTTTGTACAGGCGTGTTGTGTTTTGAGGGGGTGTGCATTACCAAAAATCAAGTCGGTTCAAATGAACAATGAGCCGATCAACAAAGGGACTCTCCACTTTTCACTGAAAATCAACACTTTGTATTAAATATCTATGATATTATTGTTTAAATGTTGAAAAGATCAGCAGAAATTGGTTATATTTGGTGTAAATTGCTTTTTTCTCATTTGCACGTTGATTGTAAGAGACCCCCAACGTAAAAATGCGTTTAAACAGCGAGCTATTTTTTCTTTTTAAATCATAAAATTACGATTACGTTGAAATTCGGTGATTTCATTCTGTTTTGTGTGTGTGTGTGTGTATTATTTAAATGGTATTGTCTTCGTATCTTTATCATGCTTTTCCGTCGTGGCACAGCCGTTTTCGATAAAATCACCACGCCTTTATTACATCTTCTTGTTAAAATGGATGTACAAATAAACCACGAGACAAAATCCCTATATTTACTATGAGAAATGGTTTTAATATTAGAAGTAGCCTTACAAGGCTGCTTATGTTACTCAACACGATGATCTCTTCGGTTTGATCAGCGCTGGTGGATCTACTCGTCCATCTTGCAACGCTTTCACTTAGATGGCAACAGCATCAGCCAGACAAAGTGCATGAGACTTCACCCACGTGGCGAACCTATGGACTCCAAACAGTGTTTTCATATATCCTTTGCTTTTTGGTAGATTGCAAACCTGCGAAATAAATGCAAACTTTAATTTTTTTACGCAGTACAAAAAACAGCTAAATATGAAGCATTTTCTTATTCCCTCAGGAGAATGGCCATGCCAAAACCAATGGGAATGCCTCTCCAACTGCAGAAGCAGCCACGGAGGATGTTCAAGCCAATGGAAAGCACTCTGCTGATGGAGAGGTAAAAGCAGAAGAGGGAAAGGCAGAGGAAGGAGGCGCAGACAAGGCCGCTCCAGAGGGGGATGCGGAAAGTTCTGCCGTTGCGAATGGTGAAGACTCGGCCAAGACAGAAGAAAACGGTTCTACCCCTGCGAGCGCTGAGCCTGCCAAAACCAAAAAGCGCTTCTCCTTTAAGAAACCATTCAAACTCAGCGGCTTCTCCTTTAAGAAGAGCGCCAAAAAAGATGCTGAAGGTGGAGAGGCGGCGGCGGCCGGCAGCTGTGGAGAATGGAGAGCAGAAGAAGGATGCTGAACCTGAGTCTGAGGAGGCCAAGCCTGAGGCCTCCAGCGAAGAGGCCAAAACGGAGGCTCCAGCTGAGGAACCCAAAGCCGATGAACCCAAAGCTGAGGAACCAGCCGAAAGCAATGAGGAAAAACCATCCAACGAGGTAGCCGAAGAGAAGCCCGCTGAGGAGAAGCCAGCAGAAGCTGCTCTTCAGGAACCAGCAGCCACAGAGAGCTCAGATGCCCCGGTCGCTGCCACAGAGTAGGATGGAGGTGAAAAGCCCATTTTAGATGAAGTCCGAGGAGCACAAACATGGAAAATTTGTACAAAACCAATGACATTTCAAATCTCCCATACTTCTCCCATACTTTCATCCATTCCTGTTCCATCCACTACATTGTATATGGCATTTTGAAGGAAGGAAGTTGGATGGAATGATTGGAAGTGAAAGGCACATTTTTTCCCATGTTTTTCATCATTTTTTGTAGCAGTTGTGTAAGTTGTGTGGGTGTGTGAGTGTGCTTGCATGAGTGAGATTAATAGAGCATTGCTTGTTTCAAATGTTTGTTTTTTTTCTTTGTTTTTTTGTTTTTTCTTTTGTAGAACTTACATTAGTTGTTGTAAGGACATTGAGTTGAAATGTTAGTTGAAGGTACTGGTGCCATTCTATTTGGGTAAATCAAGCGTGTGGAAAACGGAGCTATTAGATACAATTTACAGATGTTATTGGTCACTTTTTTTTTTCTTTTCTTATTTTACTGCCGTTACATCAATCATCAAAACAGGTGCTTAAAACCTCAGCAGCTGCATTGTGTGAAACTGCAGCATTATGTATTGGTATTGGCTTTTGTCATTGCTGGATTTTATGATGTTGAAATGGCTTTCGTTTTTTCTTTATATCTGTGGTATCAATTGAAGTTTTTTTTTTTTTTGTTCTCTCTTTCTGGAAAAAAAACCCTGTTTCATGGAGAATAATGTTCTGAAATGTTTAAAATCAAAACATTTTGCCTGTCATGTGTAATGCAGTCAGTGTTTTTTTATTCCAGCAGAGTTCCACAAATGTTTGAAAAATTGCCGGTGCAATCGTCAAGTAGATATTTTTTTTTTCTTTCCTGTAAATACTTCAGCACCATCTCTACTTGATTTTTAAATGGAATGTAACTGCGTGCAAATTGTTCACAATGCTTCTGTTACCCCTTCATTTTAGGGGCACTCAAAACAAAAATAAAGGATTTAGACAGACAGTGAGTGGTTTGAGTATTAATTGTGCAACATTGATTATAATATGAATGTCTGCCTTGAATGATTTGTGATATAGCAATTTTGTACATTTTTACAAGAGAATACATTTTTAGAACTTTATTTTCATGTTATTTTGGTGGAGGTCATTTGTTTGCTAATACCGTACAGTACCATGGTAAAA